GGGGCGGCAGAACGCACTGTGCGCTGTTCTGCTGGGAACGACCGCAGGTCAAGCCTGGATCCTCTGCCTGATGCTGCTTTGAAGCCTTGACATCTGACCGTGGTACAGTATAGCTACTGTAGTGTAGCATGGCATAGCGTAGCACATTGTAGCAACGTCGGGTATAGTATAGGATAGGATACAGTAGCGTAGAGTAGAAGAGTGCAGTGCAACGTAGTGTGGTGCACAGTATAATATAGTATAGTATATCATAGTATGATATAGTATAGCATGGTCTAGTCTAGTCGAGTCTAGTCTAGTCTAGTATTATAGTATAGTATAGTGTAGCATAGTATAGCATAGAACAGTATAGTATAGTAGAGTAGAGTAGAGTATAGTATAGCACAGCATCGCATAGGATATGTAGTACAGCATAGTATTGTCCTCCATGCCCTTTATGACGGCAAGGCTCGAAGATGGGAGTGGGCCGTGGCAGCCTTGCAGAGCCCTGGCTTGCAGATATGTGGTCGAGGCTTCGCGGCTTTTTTTGGACATCCATAGTTCGCGGCCGATCAGTTCGAAGAATTCTCCGAGCTCCTCGCATCATGTGCAAAACCCTTCTAGATGCCGGTGAGCTGCTGTACATGTGTTGATTTCGTTGGGCTGCTGCAATATGGCGGTTTCACCATCCTGATTCGCAGTTCTACTTGCTAGTTGTTATTCTGTGGGACGACTGCGCTCCCGTGCCTGCACCGAACACTTCCCAAACCACGGCCCTGCGTCTTGCAGTGTTGCCCCAGGGCCTTGTTGGTTGGGGGTGTGCCTGTGTGGGGTATTGCAGGGTTCGCCTGCAAAGGCCCTCCCTTCGTTTCTTTCTTTGCTACAGTTGTTCACTGCAGCTGATCTGCAGCCGATGAGCTAATGCAGCTGCTGGACGGTTGGTGGGCTATCTGAACCTATTGTGTGCCCGAATGCATTCTGAAGGGTTTGAAATGCCTCTCCCTGGTGACCCAGGCAGCGGCCTGTGGCCCAGGGTGGACTCGTGCGCGATCCATTCAATAATGTGTGCTGCAGTATAAGCGTGTGTGCCTGGTTTTGAAGTATCGTATCAAATCGTAGACATTAATTACTTCAACCGTTTCTTTTGGTCGCACCCGAAGTCAGAGTGCTATTCTCTAGCCGTTTTCCAGCGGCTCGTTTCGGTCAGCTACTCGCAATGCATGGTTGTAGATGAAAGGTTGGCTTGAACCACCGAAACCCTAAAGTAAGCCCTAAACAACGACTTTTTCGAAACGTTTCGAGACCGTAGCCCCAGGAGCCCAAAAGCCAAAACTGCATCCCAGGCGCGCAGCAGTGGCTTCCCTCGTACCGGATGTTGTGCGGGGACCCATCGCGGGATGGGGTGTAGGGGCTTAGGGTCTAGGGATCCCCCGACTCCCCGAAACCAAATTGAGGTATGGAATCATGATCAAGCGGCAGAATCTGTAAAGGACCCTTATAACAACCCTTATTCAGCCTAAACTCTGGTCTCGGGCTGCTTTGCAGGTGTGTTGGAAGTTGTTTCCGGTTGAAGTAGGCCTGCCCATGCCCACGACGGATGTCAAAACCTTGCTTCTAAGATCCTTATGTGCTATACAGACATATTTGTGCTGATGGCCATGATGATGATGATGATGATGACGATGTTCATATGACTATGAGTATTATCGTAGCTAGCAGCCCTCAAAGAATCACGCACAAACCGTGGAGGCGGTTGCCTCCAGCCATGTCCTTAAGCCGTGCTTCCGGTCTGCAGCTTTTGTTGCCGCCGAATCTGAACTACAGACTGCAAGTGCAACAAGTTCAGGATTTAGGACATTTGGGACTTCGGTGCTAGTCTGAAACCTTGCTCTTCAAGCACAGAGGCGCCCAGGAGAATGCTAGGCTTTCGTGTGGTGCTTTTTGCTTGGAAGAGGGTCCTAGAGGCCCTGTATTTGAGAGAGGCGCAGCACTCGAGCGGAAGCAAGTTTTGAGGAAGTATCGATGCAGATGTTTGAGCCCTCTTAGTGCATTGCTTTTGGGTTTGAGCAGCAGTTGCATCTGCAACCCCAGGCCACCGCAGCCGTGGATTCTCGCAAGAGCAGCCTCCTTTGCGTGCCCATGATGGCGATTCGCCTAGCGGCCAGACCCTCGCCGGCAGAGCAGCAGGCCCCTTCGACCGTTGCCGAAGGTCTAAGGTCGTTCGGTGTACGATGCTGAGGAAGATGTTGGTGGTGGTGGTGGTTGCTATTTCTTGCGGTCTGTTCTTTTGACTCGCATTTCTTTTCAGCTCTCTCTGTGTCGCTGTCTCTTGTTGTTCAATCCTGAACCCTAGACAAGACTGCAGTGTCCAAGAGACGGTTCAACAGTCAAAGCTCTGAGCTAGCACTGTTCCGGTGCTGCTGCAGCTGCTGGGGTTGTTGCCCTGCTTCCTGACACGACGACGATTGTCGACCGGAGACAAGCACTAGCCGAAAGAGCGACGCAGCGAGCATAAAGGGGTTCGGACAGCTACACTGTAACCAGTGGCAGCAATGGTCCCAGCAGGAGTCGCTAGGCAGCGGTAGAAACAGTGGCAAACCCCTGAAGTTGAAATTGTCTTGTCATTCTGGTTACGCCGTCGCGGCTGTCACTACAAACTTTCGTGTTTGCCTTGAATGTCATAAAACGCACTTTGGTCATTGGCAGCCGTCACTGCTTCTGTCAGGCGACCTTGCACTCCTCGGTGCGGCCTCGCCGACAAGCTCCCCGCCAATTTACAATGCCAGTTCCTCGCGTTCTGCGCCCTGACCATAGCTCGTCGAGTTGCAGGATAGTAATCGTGAGCTGCCTTTCGGAACGTGTGCAAGATGGACCACACTCGAATGGCGTCGCTCCTGTCTATAGTGGGCCGTTGTATTAGCATGTCCAGAGTTCCTTAAACCCTGAACCCGGCTCGAAGAGCATTTGGAAGCTCGGAAAGTTATGCCTCGCCTGCAAAAGCGATGACAGTTGAGTGTTCTGTTGCTGAGCTTGCAGACAAGTTCGAAGTCTGTCACCTGCATCATCCGATCGCGAAAGAGGTGCCGTCATCCCGCAGCCCGCTGCAGTGAGTAGATACACTCTTTTCTTTCCTTTTCGCGTCCTGCAGCGCGTTCTTGGGATGGCTCAGCGTCCATCCAATCTTTCCCTTGCTGGGGCAGCCGCAGGCGAGCTGTCAAGCACATGCCGAGTAAGTCTGTACACTGGGTTTATGGTTCCTTGGGCCAAGGGCATTGCTTGTGGCCCAACGACCCAACGCATGCATGTTCCTCCCACTCTGTTCCTTTCTCAAGGCAAGCAGCCGCCTGAAGGAAACCATGACACCAAGGCAGTTTGCCAAGCCCTCATTGGCTCGCGAAGACTGTCGCTAATGCCCCTCACCCTTGCGGATCATCCGCGTAAGTGACTAGAGACTAGGCAGCATCCGACCAGAATTTCGGACCTGACTTTAATTACAGCGAACTCGCCCGGAAGTTGCACGCGAAAAGCATAATCGTCAGCAACACCTAAAGCAGTTGCAAACGATGTTTAAGTTCCAGGTTACGCCCATAAATCGGAAGCTCGTAAGCAGCCACAGGTGTGTGCCTGCAGAGCCCACACCCAAAAGCCTAAAGCCTGACACCACTGCGAAGGGAGGAAGGGGTCGGTGGATGTTGGCACATGCAAAGCCCAAGCCTTTGTTGGAAGGTGGTCTGGCACTTCTGGGCTCCGCCAGCGCCTTCGTCGCCGCTCCACAGGAGGTGCCCGTAAGCTTGCACAGCTCTGAATGACGGAAGCTGGTCAGTCTATCCCAAAACGATGCCCCACTCCAGCCCCAAACCTCCACAGCATCTTTTCGTTCGAAACCCAGGCGTAAAGAGAACAAGTGGTGATATACACCCAAAGAGACTTCTTCAGCTGTCAAGGTCTGTTGTAGAGGAGCTTTAAAAATAGACCGTCCAATACTTATGTACGGTCTATTTGTATTATGGAGACAAGTGGAGCAAAAGCCGTGGAGCAAATTGAGCCCCACACCCTGATCGTCGGCATTCAGTCCCATAGCCTCCGCGCCTGGCGAAGGCCAGCGCACCGAGCCTGCGGGGCACTTCCCTGGTGCAGTCTCAGGCTTGGTCGGGGCAGTTTCTGATGGTTCCTTTGGTTTTGTGCAAGGTTCTCCAGCGTGCTTGCAGATGCTACAGCTGTTGGAACCCCTTGAACCTTCGACTACTGCTGCTGCTGCTGCTCCTACTACTACTACTACTACTACTACGACCACTACTACTACGACTACTACGACGACTACTACTGCTATTGCTGTGGCAACAGCACTGGCAATTATTGTTGCTGTGGATAAGAGCACTCAAAAAGCCCCAAACAAGCTCAGCCTTTGACAGAGCCATCGCGAGGCCCAGGCGGCGGCTTCGGGAAGCTCTCTCTCCGCTCCGTGGCCTTCAAGCTTTGGGTTGTCCTGTTGCGTCTCTGACCTGCCGCCACACAAACCGGCAGGGCTTCATGAACTTTCGCCGTCTTGGCTTCGACGGGAGAATCAACACAGGGGGAAATTATTCACAGGACCGGAACATCCGCGGTTCATAACCACGGCCAAACCATTGCAAGCTTTGGCGGCAGTTTCCGGCACGGTAAGACACGTGAGACTCTCGAGACTACTTCACCATTGCTGTGTGACTTACAGCACCATTGAGGCTCTCGCCGCCGGTGGCGCGGTTGCCGCGGCAGCAGTGGCTGCCAGTCGCCCAGGAGAGCCTTCCAATTGGCCGACTTTTGATGATTTGTTCTAAGACTGTTTGGGCTTGTTCTGAGATTATCTGGTTAACAATCAGTAGCAACAGCAACGGCAATGGCAACAGCAACAGCAACAACCACTACAACAACAACGACCACAACCACAACCACAACCACAGCCACGGCCACAACCACGACCACAACCACAACTTCAACCACAACCGCAACCACAATCACAACCGCAACCACGACCACGACAGCCACAACAGCCACAATACCCACAAAAAACACCATGATAACGATCTCGCCAAAATCAACATCGTCACCAATACAATTTGCAGTCATGTTCAGCCGATGCTCAGTGTGATGGTGATGGTGTCAGGGATTGTCGCAGTGGCTGTGATGGTTAGGACTGTGGTGATGTATGGTGCTGGTCAGGTGGTAATGATGGTGATGATGATGATGACGACGATGATGACGTTGATGACGATGAAGATGATGATGATGACGATGATGGTAATGTATGCTGGGTACACAAAAAGTCAACGGAGCCGCATGAGCACGCAAGAGAGCCGCACAAACCTCTGGCAGTAGCGCTGGTGATGATTGCTTTTAACATGATGTTGTTGACGAGCACCACACCGGGCTTGTACAACTCATCAGTTGTGTGTGCGACAGCTGAATAAACATGTTTGTTGTCCTCAAGACTGTCAGTGTGGTCGTGGAACATCGACAGTGCAAGCTCATGGCCCAAAGCACATACTGCCATTGCCCTGCAACGCTCCCGCACTCTCGCCCCAAAACAACACAGTCACAGTATAACACGCCCTGAACCGAAAGCCAGCTTCGGAGCTTGGTGGGTTTGGGGCTTAGGCTTATGAGGGTGGCGGCTTTACGGCTTTAAGGTTTCCCGAAGCCCCTTGCTATTAACAAGCCATGAATCTGAAAGGACGCCAAACACGCAGCACCATCCTCCCTACAACCGTGGTGCCAGTGAAGGCAAGAAGGGCTTTGCTACCCGACGGCTTGAGCACGAGCAACTCCTGAGCAACCCTCGTTGCCGCTGCATGTGTTGCACAGTTACGTTTTAGCTAGACGGCTAGCAACTAGGCCCAGGCAGTGTTGCATTCCATTCCTTGCAGGAGAGCCGGGTGACACGCAAGGCATTGGACCAGTCCAGCCGATACGCAGACCTGTCCCTGGATGAGGCCACGCTTATCAAGAGACTCAGCTGCAAAGTGGAACTTCTGTGTAACTTGCGTCCGACTGAATTTATGCTGTCGCCAGGAACGGCAAGCACGTGCTGGTCGCGTACATCATGAAGCCCAAGGCGGGCTACGACTACCTGGCCAC